TGTGTAGCGCAACTGTTCAGATCCGATTTGAATATCTGAATATCTGCATTGTTTTCTAAGGGAATGATGTTGAATTGGTATGTCTACACTAAAAACAACAATAACAGCAATACACTTTGCAATACAGATGTTGCCGTTGTGCTGGATTATATCATGATTTATGATGCAGCGGCAGAACGTAGGAAGCTGGAATATGCAGATTAATTCCATACTGCTGTCTCCCCTGGTCTCAAAACTCAAAGATGTGTGTAGACCAGCTCTATATGGCCATTTTCCGCTTAATTTACACTTCGCAACAATACAGCCTCATTTCTGCTAAGACATTCCACATGTTTTCTACAAACAATGTCTGTTTACGTTTTACAGGGCGTGAGAATGCGATCGCTAAATCCGATCCGAGCGGTCAGAATGAAACAGATTTCCAGAAATGCGACATATAAATGTAGCCTGAAACAGATTTGTAAAAATCGAATTTCATATGATTTTTCTGCTGTTCACACATGATCGAAATCGGACTACTTCGGATTTGAACTGACAGTCTGAAAAAGCCAATTTTTTTGTGTATTAAATGTTAAAATTTAATAATTCATTATATATATATATATTTCACACATGATCGAAATCGGACTAAATCGGATTTGGACTGACAGTCTGAAAAAGGCCATTTTTTTGTGTATTAAATGTTAAAATTTAATAATTAATTATATATATATATATATATACTGTATATATTAACTTTGACAATGTATTAAAAGAGTATTAAACATGAACCGTTTTAATATTTATTGTGACAGTAATTTAAATCCATATTTGCTGCATCAATTACAGCATTTGCACAGCACCAAACTATTTCTCCAATAACATTTTTAAAGTTGGGGCACTTGTTTACTAATGAGGCAACAGTTTCAGTGGAGAGCTTGATAATATGGTACACGTGATGTTGTGACAAATCAAGGCAAATATAATTTTATGTAATTTCCAATCAAGCTGTCATCTTGTCAGTTATTTCTAATGCGATCCTTTCCATCTCAGAACAAAATGCTATTAAACACAATATATAATTTGAGATGTGGTGGAAATTTAAAATTTGTAGATTTATGGGTGAACTATCCCTTTAAATCTAGAAATCTACATCAAACGCAGCAGTTTCTCTTTCTCCACTGCTTGAGCACCATCACCATAAAAAGCCAAGAAGAGAACAACATAAAAATCATATTCTTAGCTTTCAAATGAGAAACTTAGGTGATCCTCCATCACAGGAGCACCAACAAAACCTCTTTGGTTTCTTATTTTAGCATCAAAGGTTGCTGTGTTCAAAGAAAATCACAAAGATAATGGAATGGATCAGATCAACAAGGTATTCACGAAAACACAAACAGATTACAGTACAACAAGACATTCCACATAAACGATAAGATTTAAAGTAGACAACAACCTTTTACAAACTTAACTTCAATTTCGAATAAAGATTTGCAGGTTCCTGGAAATAAGCAGCTTGAGATCTTGTCACGGCAGTAATATAAAGCATGATCGATCTGGAGGGTATTTACAAAGCCCTGAAACCATCCCGTTCCTGCAAAACTGAGCATTATCTCTGCATTTGGATAAGGAAATGTCATTTATATGTTACTGAAGTGAAATAGTTTGCCTCTGTCTAGTGTGACTACTGTGTAACAGTTAGTGGTTTTCACAACAGTATCAAGAGTTCATTTAGCCTGTTTTACTTACTTTTATTCTTACATTTACAACGTATTCTCTCTCTCCTCACCTCCTCACCTTTGTGTTCCTGACATGGCCTGTGTTGTCTTATCCCATAAATGGTTAATGACCCCCTTGCACATAGCCGAAAAGCTCCGAGGCTGGATTGTTTTGGAGAGAGCAATAGTTAAATTTACTGCTTCAACCAAGCAACTTTGGACCACCCGGCTCGGAATAGCACATAATACAAAGCAGAGCTCTCTCTCTCTCTCTCTCTCTCTCTCGTCTTTTTACCCTTTTTCTTCATCTGCCTCGTGCTCTCCACTGGTGTTTCCTTCCTTCGATCTACCTATATTTGGGATCCCTTGACTTGCAGGAATGTTCTGGCCCACGATGTTACAACAAACATCATCTCCTGCAGATCGCCCTGAGCTGTAATTTATGACACAGCAGACTGAATCCCAGCCTGTGAACTGGATCCTGGAGTGTTTCAAGGGATGCATGTTCCTGCATCTATCATATCTTGTGGTGTCAACTGAGAAATTAACTTTTTGAGTACTTCGCAGCACTTCGCAGTCCTCCAGATGTCTTCATGTGCACATGATGTTCTAATTATGATGGCACTAAATATTACCATGATGTCAAAGCATTTGGGTGGATCCTTCACGTAGTCCATGAAATGTGTCACTTCTTAAAGGGGTAGTTCACCCCTTTTTCTGTAGAACACAACAGAAGAATGTGCTGGTTGGTCTTTTGCATACAAATACAATGAATGTGATTTTTTTTCCTGATAAAAATTGTGATTTATAATGCAATTTAAAAAAAATCTCCATGTTTACTGTTTTTTTTTTTTTTTGCAATTTGGCTGAAAAAAAAAAAAACGTGTTTTAAAAATAATATAACTATATAATAAAAGCATACAATAATAATCATCATCATCATCTTAAACAATAATTTCTCCTTTTAATATTTTTATTCAGTGATAATAATAATAATAATGATTATTATTATTTTATTAATATTACTGAACAAAAATAATTTCTTATTTTAATATTTTTTTTCAGTAATAATCATAATCATTATTATTACTGAATAAAAATATTAAAATAAATAAAATGTTATTAATAATAATTAAATAATACATTTTTTATTTTTGTAATATTTTATTGAAAAAATATAGTATTTACAAATATTTAATATTTTAATTTTTACAGTAAAAGTGTAAAATTAAATACTAATATATTTGTCTAATATTATTTCTTAATGTCATTTTATTTATTTTTCTAAACCATCAAACTTTTATTTTGGCAGAAGACTGTAGGGAGCCCTTAAAACTTCTCTTGTGTTGACAAAATCCAGTTTACTGTTTAATCGCTTTCTGTTACAAATTTGGAAGATTATTTTGGGAGCATTTTGTGTTTCCAAATGCACATTACAAGTGACCCTAACACTGGATCATGAGCTGTTCATATATTAATGAACACAGTGCCATGCTTCACTCTGAAACATGCAGCACATGTATTTTTGTAATTAAATCACAGCCTTTGCGATTGATATTCACACTGAGCCATAATGTGATTTCAGTTTTATTTTCATTAATTGTGCAACCCTATAGCTATTAACTTCAAAAAGGACACAAAAGCACCAAAAATAGTCAAAATGACTCATGATATATATTCAAAGCCTTATGAAGCCATATGATTACTATAAAGTTCAAGTTATTATTCTTGCTCTTTGGGACCGAGCAGTCAAAGGCAAGGAAAACAGGATTTCCAAAAAAAAAAAAAAAAAAAATAATAATAATAATAATTAAAATGTATTCAATTCAAACAAAGTTACAAATGAAATCACTTAGAAACTAAATGGAAATAAAGAAAATATAGACAGGTCTGGGTCCATTAAAAAGGTCAACTAAACAGAACCAAACTTAACAATAAATCAAAACAAGGTAACAAACAAACAAAAAAAGAAAAACGTGACCTCTTAAGCGACACATGAGGGGAATTTTATACACAAAGGACTAGTTAATTACACACACTCGCGCGCGCGCACGCACGCACGCACACACACACACACACACAGGGAATACTACAAACATCACTAAACACCATCAAATAATTAACTTAAAATAAAGAAATAGATCATAAACAGCAAATTATTATACACAAACAATTAAATAAAAATAGATAAATAAACAAATAATCCTACACCCCCCAGCTAGTTTACAGGATGGATTGATCCAGCGAAACAAACTGACGCCAGCCGGTTCTTTATGAGCACGCCAGCACGGACCACCACAGGAAGACAGCGCGGCTGCGCCCGGACAGTGCCCAACCTCTGCTCTCCGCTCGAAGGTAACTTAAAGGTGACATGTCATGAAAATCTGACTTTTCCAGGTTTTAAGTGCTATAATCAGGTCCCCGGTGCATCTACCAACCAAGGAAGCGTGAAAAAGATTAACTCAGTAACTTTGTTTTGGTAAGCCTTTTTCTGCAAGCGTCTGAAAAAATGAGCGAGTCTGATTTTGCACCCTTGGTGACGTGGCAAAGGGATCTAATTATGATATTACCGCCCCTTAATCTGTAAGTTTCCACCCATGGCGACGTCATTTTGATTTCTCAAGCGACAAAGGTGCACCAGTTCTAATGCCATGGCGAAAGTTTGAGCAAAACATGCTGTAAAAAGTAATGAGTTGAACTTACTTGGAAAACCTGTGGAAACTGATTGCCTCAAATTTCTCAAGCAAATTAGTTTATCATTTTTGAGTTAATAAAACTTACTGTAACTTTGTATAGGTAACTTGTGTATATGTATAGGTTACCAGAAAACTTGAGTGTTGGTAACTCAATTTGACAAGTTCAGCCAACTTAGAGATTTAAGTTAAGCTTAGTGCACAGAACTCAAACAAAACAGTTCTCTTAACAAGTCTGCTTTGTTCACATTACTAGACAAATGTGTGGAAACTGATTGCCTTAAATTTCTCAAGTAAGCTGTACTCAAAACTTAAAGTTGTTAATACAAAGACAGAAAACAGATTGTTAGCACAACAATAGGGCATTTATTTGTTTAAAACAATGTTACTTCAAGTCATTATTTTTTAGGCATGCTATCAAATCAACAATTTAACACTGTAAGAAAAATTGCACATACTGCACTCAGGAAATAAATAGAAAAAAAAACCCATCAACATCCCTTTTATGACACCTTGTAAATCTAGATTTACCATTTTCTAGAATTACCTTTTTCTAAATCAATAATGATCAATCATGAACAATTACACTGAAAAATGCTCCATCACGCCACAATGACATCTTTCTACATCAGAAGATTTTTCAGAGATTGCATTCTAGGTTCAGCCATTGAATGAAATCAAAGGTGTCCTTCAGTACTGGAGGATACTATAATTTCATAGCATAAATCCAAGTCCAAAGAGCAGGCATATCTTGGGGAGGATTTTCCAGATCATCCAATACAATTGTACCTTCCAAAATTATTGCAGTAGACATGGCATTAAATGCAGTGAGTTGGGCATGGCTCTAGAGTCCTCCGCTCAGGGATCACGGTCAATAGGCCGACTGACATCTCTTCTTCATCATAGTCCTAGAAACAAGAATACAATATGACAAAAATAAGTAATTACATTTTAAGAGTACATATTCAGGTTAAACATTTGCAAACAAATTAATATCTGTGTATTATGTTTAGATATAAAGGCCTTTTCAAACTGAGCACAGCAGTGGATCCCAGATAAAAATAAAAAAAGACATTCAATCTGTTGTACAAAAAGACAAGACAAACTGAACAGTATGCCAGCTATACAATAATCTATTCTGAAACTGCTGCTTTGACATTTGAAAAGTGTAAAAAAAAACAACAACAGCATTTTGGTTCAATACTGACATATATATTCTCTTTTGTGTGATTTCTAAAGACTGACCAGAAAACCATGATCAAGAGAGCACCCTCATAGGCCATGTCTTAAACGAGTGGTTTTCACGTCTCTATCACTCATATATTAGACTCTTTGTTTTTGTTCTCTTGCTTATCTGATTTCTTTATTTCTTTCAAACCTCCTTTTTGATTTTTATATTTCTTTCACTTACTTACCTTTATTCTTTTCTGTCCTTCCTTTCTGACTTCTTTCCTCTTTGTGTTGTTTCCTTTACTCTTCCTTCATCTAAATTGTCAGACTCCTTGTTACCTAATTTCTATTTTCTTTCTTCACATTATTTTTCTTACTCTTATTTAAAAAGGGTTCACCCAAAAATGAAAATTCTGTCATTAATTACTCTCTCATGTCGTTCCAAACCAGTAAGACCTTCATTCATCTTCGGAACACAAATGAAGATATTTTTGATGAAATCTGACAATGCTTGTGCATTCCTCTGCTTGTAAACAAGGCACAGTGCATGCGTGTTCTACGTCAGAACGCCGGCTCCTGCGTCAGCAGCATCACACGCATGCGTCGTGGTACTCTCGTGAACGATGTACTTACTTTCTTTCTGGGTCTTGAACGTGGTAGTTGTGTTGCTGTCTATGCAGAAAGCTCTTGGATTTCATCAGAAATATCTTAAATTGTGTTCCGAAAATTAACAAAGGTCTTATAGGTTTGGAACGACATGAGGGTGAGTAATTAATGACAGAATTTTAGAGTGAACTAACCCTTTAAGTATTTTTTCTCTTCTTTCCAACTCTGTTCTTTTATTATACATTCCCTTTCCTTTTTTCCTTAGAAGTTTTTTTTTTTCACTTTCTTTATTCCTTTCTATCTTATATTGTTTCTGTGTCCTGATTTTTTTCTTGCCAGGTCTCAAGAATTGTCTGCATTACACTAAATAACCAGAATATAACAGACAAAATTACTTACAAAACATGTCTTGTAAAAATCAGTAAGGTCCTTTTCAAGGAAGAGTGGAAGGCCGTGGAGAACTGCTGTTCATCGCCCATTGATGTTAGATGTCTGTACAATTATTAAAAAAACTCATATTTAATATCACTCAAAGCACAAGCATTCAGCATAACATATAATGAATATCTACTTATTCTGTGCAGGGTTTCACAAAACTGCAAAGTATGATTTTTCATTAAGCACACCTATGTGAATAAGCATATACTATGTGGAAACATGGAATTGGAGAATTTTCATATTCCATAGCTTCCATATTTTAATAAGTTTTTCAGCAGTTGAGCTCTCTTTTCACTCAATAAACAAGTAGAACTTCCACTTCCACTGCACGAGTTTAAGTCCCCAAAAAAAGAGCACATAGAATATGAAAAGAAAATGGTAATAATTAGTGCTGGGCATTGACGCACATTTAAAAACTATTTTAAATGAAGTTTCTACTACAAATAATTTTCTGAAATATAAACATTTAAACAGTGGTTGTGATGATAACTTGTTTTCATGACATTTGTTCAAACATTAAATACTGAAAAACGGATTTATTTCTCAGCAGTTTTTCACAGACATAACCGACTGTTTTTGTAACTCATGTGTGCGTTTTTAACGTAAACTTGTGTGTGAATGATAAATTAGTTTAGTACTCACATGCTGTGACAGCCGCTTTCTGTACGTGTGCTTCGGATGTGTCCACTCAGAAAACCGTATATCAGAAGTTTAAACTAATATGGTTTAAAACGGAACCAAAATAATCAGAACCAAAACAGATGTTTTTAGCAGGTCCGAGCTGTAATGGCGCAGCTCTATTCTGGAAAAGGGGGCGGGGAGCAGCAGCTCATTTGCATTTAAAGAGACAGGCACAAAAAACAGTGTGTTTCTGCTTCCACTCAAAATAGGCATTTTCAAAATGTTATAATAAATGATCTGTGGAGTATTTTGAGCTGAAACTTCACAGACACATTCTGGGGACACCAGAGACTTATATTACATATTGTAAAAAGGGGCATAATATGTCTCCTTTAAACCCAAAAGAAATAAATGTTAACAAAGTATACCACCAATAACTAGAAAGTGTGCACCCAAACTAGTCACTCATGGTATGAAATAAATACAAATTGAAAATAAAACCGTAAAGATGAACCAAATCTGTGTATGTCATTATTATGAAATGTAAACAGTGTGATCAGTAACAAATGTTAAATCAAATACTAATAAGCAAATAAAACTAACATGTACACAACCAAAAGGGAAAAGGTATACATGTGCGCGAGTGCGTGTCAGCTACCGTTTTACTGTGTGGCCACGTCATCAGCCATCACACTCTTACTAACCTTTTTCCCCCAACTAATTGTCCTGTTGTGGGTTCCCAATCATAAACTGAGCCTCATGCATCTGTATTCCCTTAATCACCAGTATCTATCATCTAACTGACACCCAAACCCAGCACACATGACCTACAACTGGGCTGCGTTCACGAAAATGTTCTTTCTCCCGTATGCTCCTTTGTGGCATGCTCAAGAACCAGCTACACGGATCATAAGTTTGGCCAGAGTCCCGGGGGGCTTCCAGAAAAACTGAAGACTTCATTGAGGAACTCACTGAGAGACGTAGAAGGCCTGCTGGCGCCACAGCCTCCAGAAACCTCCTGGCCTGATAGATGGAGGTCTTTGCCAAAGTACCGCTGACAAGAAAATGTCGGATTCATCAGTTTTAACAATGGAGGAACTAGATTGACTTCCACCACAAAATTATAATAACTACGATTATTTATGATTATGTTGGCTGGAGGAACCATTAAATCTCCTTAAATAAAAGCCCCTATACCCAGGAGTTTAACTGTGATTCATCTTTCGTATACATGAGCAATTGCAAAAGATACAGTAAATGCAATACTGCATTTATTGTTCTGTCCCAGCAATCCATTGGAATCCCTTAAGTCAGATGAACAAAGAACTTGTTTGTCGAAATGTGAACCTCCATTTTGAAACATGCAAGCCAAAGAGGAATTTCAAGCTGCATGCTCATTTGGATGAGCCTGAATTTATAAATCTGACCACAAGCTTGGACACAGAGACTATAAAGCTGGAATTATAAGCAGTTTATTTGATGTGGCACCATCTTGACAGCACGACTACAACAGGGATTCACTTACAATAACATTGGCATTTATGCCAACTCTGACCAGCATAAATAAACAAGAGATTGTGTTCTGACCATTTCAAATATATGCAAACAATGTTACATGTCACCCACGATTAGTCAAGTAAACTTTACTGACAAATTAAATCAGACGATTTCCAAAAACGTTCTCTAATATACACATCTTCTAAAGGTGTACTGAAAAACAGCATGAAGGTTTGAAAGCTGCATGGTGAATAAAAGATGTTTGTGACCCTGCACCAGGAATGATAAGACTGGATAATTGTGATATAATAAACTATATATATATATATATATATATACACAGTAGCTCACAGGAGTACACCCCTCAAATTTTTGTAAATATTTTATTATATCTTTTCATGTGACAACACTGAAGAAATGACACTTT